AAAAAAAAAAAAGTTAAATGTATAAAACACATACTCCAAATAATACAATGAACAAGATTTTTCAGAATATCCAATACTTCCTATGTAACCTATTGTCAGAAACACCTAAATCCAAACTTTAATAGTTATTTATGTTATATATTATAAGCTTCTTAATGTGTTGCAAAATACAATGTATTCCATTCAAAAGTACCTGTTGTTTCACAAGTTTCAAAAAACAAAATTAAACAGCACCGCCTCCGTGTCAATTTAACTAACCATAACAATTATTTCCATTTGAAATCAATTTCACAGATAGGAAAATAAAATGAATGAAAGTGGAGAAATGTGGTAGACACAGACACATCCACGATCTTTCTTAGCTATTTCTGAACTTAGAATGTTCATGTCTGTAATCCTAGCACTCTAGGAGGCTGAGGCGGGGGATGGCTTTAACTCACAGATTAGAAACCAGCCTGGGCGGCGCCTGTGGCACAAAAGAGTAGGGTGCAGGCCCCATATATTGGAGGTGGCAGGTTCAAACCTGGCTCGGGCCAAAAAGTGCAGAAAAAGAAAAAAAGAAGAAAGAAAAAGACCCCCCTCCTCTTGGATGCAAGAGAATAGCTTGAGCCCAAGCCTGGGAGGTTGCTGTGAGCTATGACGGCCAGAACACTCTACCCTGGGCCACAGCTTGAGACTCTGTTTCAAAAAAATAAATAAATAAAATAAGAATTTTTAAAAAGTTAAAAAAAAAAATAGGAACAGTAAGTCAGTCAAACAGGCCAAACCAGAAATAGGGAATAAAGATAATAATTGTTAAAAAAAAAAAAAAAAAAGGACGTAATCAGGCACTATAGAAAAAGTTAATAGCACGTTTAATTGGTTTTTTGATGATGATTCTTTTCATTAGTTCTTAAATTATTATTTACATATATTTAACTTGCCTACATGTTGTTAATCAGGTAAGTATAATATATTTTTAGTATACTTTTGAAATTATCCCTACATATAAATTATTAAAATTTTCTATATAGACAAAAATAACATTTAAAAAATTACTCTCGCTGTTCTCGGGAATCGCAGGCTTTCGGATAATAACGACTTTCACGAATGAATCATCTCCCTGCCTCCGGAGCCACTTTCCGTTCAGCAACACCGTGAGCCACCCAGCCCGGCCCTAAGTCTACGTTTAACAGGAGAATGGAGGGAGTGGGGGCCCCACGGACTACAGTCCCTCCCATGAATAGGCCACCCAGCTGGGATTCCTCCCTGAAGACTCTTTCATTGTCACCACCAGGGAGGGATGCAGGTTGCTGCAGGCACACAGCGAAAGGCCCAAAGGACCCCAGTTTGCACTCTCTTTTTCCCCCTCCGCTTCAGCACCTAGACCTTGCAGAAATGGGAGGTTAAACAAACCTATCTGGCAGAAACAGGGGATTACCCCAGAGTTGAAGCAGACCCTAGGAAAACCGCATTTCTATCCTCCGTTCCCCTGGTCACTAGCCAACTCCCAACCCTGTAGAATCTTGCAAGGCCTCGCTTCACCTAAAGGATTCCATTCCTCTCGCCCACCCCAACTGAAAGACAAAAAAACTCCCTTCCTTTGTCATGCGGGTGCCAAGAAATTTGAGGTGTGAAAACCCTTCTCGGTGGGCTAGCCCATAAAGGACCCCATACCTAATTGGAATTCAGTGTGCTGGCGTTTTCTCCTTAATTCCACTGACGCTGGGCACAACAGCAGCTGAAAGTTTATGTCTAACAGTTTATGTTTAAAAGGAGAATGCAGGGACTGGGGCCCCACCGTCTACAGCCCCTCCTATGAACAAGCCCCACGCACTCAATTGGGATTCTTCCCTAAGGATCCTTCCACTGTCACCACAAGGGAGGTACTCAGAGCAGTAACCACTCTAGGAAGGGGCCGGGGCAACCGAGTCCCAGCTGCCTGCCCCACTGCGTCCTTTGCTCACAGGAGTCTGAGGGCCAAGGGAGACCAGTGGCAAACATCACTCTGAAGACGTAAAACTGAAGTGAAATTGCCCAGTCCCGCCACAGCCACTTCCGGCTCCAACCATGCCCCTCCCCCTTTCAGGACACCCAGACTCCTATACTCACCATTTCCCAGCTTCAGGGATGTCCCAGTGTCCTCCCTACAGATCTCCCAGTACCTACAGGTCACACGGGGACAGAGGGTGTTGCACAGACAGCTGGATGCTCCTGGAGAAGCAAAGGTTGAAGAGGGAACACCAGATCAGCAACCAGCTCAAGAGACCCGCAGGGCTGGGGATCCCAGGAACTGCCTCCTGCCTTCCGGCTGTGCACCTCATTGGACAGTTCATATTGGAGCATTTCTGATTGGATGAGGCCTCAGGCCCCACCTCTCTGTCCTTGAGTGACAGCACTGCCACCGGACAAAAGTGAATGAGAACACAATGCTAACAGTTGCTTTTTTGTTGTTTGTTTTGCTTTGTTTAGGAGGGATTTTGTTTGTTTGTTTGTTTTTAGTCTAAAGCTGTCGCCCTGGGTAGCTTAAGCGATTCTCTTTCCTCCGTCTCCCAGGAGCTGGGACTTCAGGCGCCCTCCACAACGCCCGGCTATTTTTTTGTTGCAGTTGTCATTGTGGTTTAGCCGGCTCACGCCGGGTTCAAAACCGCCAGCCTCGGTGTATGTGGCTGGCAACATAACCACTGGGTTACAGTCGCCAAGCCTCTTTAAAAGCTTTAATGCTTAAACCAAAAACTTTGCAGGCTGTGTTTTCATAGTCACTGGTCCATGGTCCATCTCTGGCAGGGCAAGAATTTGTTCCTTAAGCTGGACATAGGTGGAAGCCGAAACTCTCCCTAGCAAAGTCCTCAGAGTGCAGAAGGGCTCCCCTTGTAGTGCTGTGCAGTGACTCCCCAAACCAGAGGCAAGAATGCAAGAAGAGTCTGTAATGAGCACCCGTAAGCCAGGCTCATTTACGGCACAGGCCAGGATTGTCTCCGTTAATTCTCACACGTACCCCACGAGTAGGCATCCCCTACTTGTGAGGAGGAATCCTGAGGCTGACTAATTGTCCATCATAAAGTTCACAAGTCCATCAATGAAAGACAGGCACTCCCACCCGCAGAGAATTCTCAGACCACCAAGACTTGTATGAAAAGTCTTTATTGGCGGGGGGAGGGAGGCTGTAGAGCAGCACCGAGGAGAGAAAGATAAGGAGAGAGTGGGGAAGAGAAGAGAGAGAGTAGATAAGAGCCAGGGGGAAGAGAGAGAAAAGAGAGCAGAGAAGGAAGGAAGAAGGAGGCGAGAGAGAGACAGCGAAATGGAGGCGGGAACATATTCTTATATAGGGAAGTTTTACAATGGTGACGGGCTGGTGGGATAACCAATAAGGAGTTATTCCTCCAGCGGAAAGAGCCATTAGGGGCGGGCAGCGGGAACGTGAAACAGGGTGACGAGGTAAGTAGGCCACTCCCTGTGCGAGGGGAGGAGTTGTAACATGAAGGGCAGGAAGGGGTTTTCTGAGGCAAATAATCTAACAATCAAACCTAGAATGAAAATGTAGGTCTTCTCAGGCCAAGCGCAGTGGCTGACACCTGTAATCCCCGCACTTGGGAGGCCCAGGCAGTGGATTGCCTAAGCAAGAGTGAGAGCAGGTCTCTAAAAAAAAAAATTGCTGGGCCTTAGGGAGGGCGCCGGTAGTCCCAGGTATTTGGGAGGCTGATGCAAGAGAATCACTTAAGTCCAAGAGTTTGGGCTCAGCGCCTGTGGCTCAAGCGGCTAAGGCGCCAGCCACATACACCTAAGGTGGCGAGTTCGAATCCCCAGCCCGGGCCCGCCAAACAACAATGACGGCTGCAACCAAAAAATGGCCAGGCGTTGTGGCAGGCGCCTGTAGTCCCAGCTACTTGGAAGGCTGAGGCAGGAGACTCGCTTGAGCCCAGGAGTTGGAGGTTGCTGTGAGCTGTGATGCCACGGCACTCTACCCAGGGGGACAGCTTGAGGCTCCGTCTCAAAAAAAAAAAAGTCCTGATGGGATGGGCTGTCTACACAATGCCCCACCCCCACCCCACCCCACACCCCCGGACTCGTCTGATCCCGAGCACAGTGAAACTGATTCTGATTGTGCGATTACTAATGTCTCTGATGCAGAAGACTTTTAGAGCCTTAAAATGTTACTTACTGAAGGCTTTTATCCGTAGGAAAGCGGCTTCAGGAATTAGAAAAGCGGCAGACTGGGCCTCGATATGTGGAAACTTCCAGGTCAGCTCCTCCTGCCATTCTTAAAATTGCCCCAACTGCTCCGCTAGCAGATCCAGTCTGGCCTGATCCTAAAAGCCCTAGAATTCATTTTAAGGTCGAGCCTGATACTTTAAATGTTCACGACGCAGAGGCTTCTACTACCTCTAGAAGAGGGAAGGAGAAATCCTCAGTCATGCCTGTAGCTCAGGTATATGACGATCAGGGCAATGCTACCATCAATTATACTTAAGATTAAGATACTGAGAATTTTGAAAGACGCGTTTCATGCGTATCGGCCCAATTCACCTTATGTGGTGGGAATCCTATCTTCTTATTGTGGAAGGTAGCGCTTCATTCATTTAGACTGGGATACTTTGGCTCCTACCACCTTGAGCCCAGGTCAGTATATTCAATTTAAATCCTGGTGGACTGAAGAGGCAAAAGTACAAGCTTGTAGGAACAGAGTTGCTGGTGGACTCACTTTTGAAGGACTAACAGGGACTGGACCTCTTGAGACAGCTAATGCTCAGGCAGCTCTGATCCCTGAACAGATAATACAAGTAAGGGGTGTCTGTATTAGAGCTTGGCAGCATTTAGATCAGAAGGAGAAATTAAACAGTTTTGTACTAAAGTACTCCAGGAGAACAATGAACCCTACACTGAATTTTGCTCGGTTGCAAACTGCTGTCGAAAGATCTATTCCAGGAGATTCCATTGGAAAGTGTTACCACAAGGAATGCTTAACAGCCCCACCTTGTGTCAATTGTTTGTAGATTAACCCCTAGAAGAACTTAGAAACTTTTAGAACTTAGAAACTTAGAACTTTTCCCAGCACAAAAATAGCCAAAAACAATAAACAGCATGAAGGAGTGGAGCTATTTTCCAATAAAATTTAGTTATAGAATCAGACAAAAGGCAGATTTGTATTAAAGTATTTTTTAATAACAAAGAATGTGATAGTCTAGAAATTACATTTTACATATGCCACATTTTGTTTATACATCTGTCCATAGATAGACATCTGGGCCATTACCAAATGTAATGTTTTTTCTCTCTTCTTTGTTTTAGCTGCAAGCAACACAGGGTCAAGTCCAAGAGACTAGCAGACAGGTTGTGAAGATGCAAGACCACATTAAAAAGTACAATTTAAAGCAGTACAAGAAATAACTTGACTATTCTAAAGCAAAACGCAGTATAAAAACTATATCAGCTATGACAATAAATATATCTGCATGAAGCTAAGGAAAAATTTCCACTTTAAGCTATACAGACATGCTATACAGTTTAAGCATTATTTTTAAATTTTTCAAATTATCCACAAAACACAGCTAGGAAAACCAGAAGAATGATTTCCCAAAGTTTCAGTGATAGTCTGTGGCTTTTAAAGATGCCTTTTACAAGGGCGGAGGAGCTCGGTGCCTATAGTTCAAGGACTGGGATGCCAGTCAACTACATGGAAGCTTGTGGGTTTGAATCCAGCTTGGGCCTTCCAAACAACAATGACAACTACAACCAAAAAATAGCTGAGTGTTGTGGCGGGCACCTGTAGTGCTAGCTACTCAGGAGGCTGAGGAAAGAGAATCACTTTAGTCCAAGAGTTTCAGGTTGCCATGAGCTGTGACTTCACAGCACCCTACCCAGGTGACAGCTTGAGACTGTCTCAAAAAAATAACAATAATAAAATAAAATAAAGAATAGGGTGGCACCTATAGCTCAGTGGCACTGGCCACATATAGCTAAGGTGGAGGGTTCAAACTTGGCCAGGGCCTGTAAGCAGCAATGACAACTCCAACAAAAACATGGCCAGGTATTGTGGCGAGCACCTGTAGTCCCAGCTACTTGGGAGGCTGAGGCAGGAGAATCACTTAAGCCCAAGAGTTGGAGGTTGCTGTGAGCTGTCATGCCAAGGCACTCTACCCAGGGCTACAGCTTGAGACTGTGTCTCAAAAATAAATAAATAAGTAAATAAGTAAAGGGAGGCGGGAGAGAAACTGGAAAGTATCCCTCTAGCACGTGGTTGCTAAGTGGGGATGGGTAGATGGAGGGAAACATTAATTAGTAAATTAACCTGAGAGATAGGTATTGTGCTTCACATGACCTTAGGGCCAGGTCTATTAGCAAGTGATAAGGAGTCTGGCAGCCCTTTAAGATTTTAGGTAGATAGAGGAAAGTCTTTGTTCAGAGTTTCCTGACTATGAATAGCTTTTCATTCAAAATAATCTTTATATCAAGGAATCATATTTGGGGGTGAAATTTTCTTAGCTCCTTCACAGTTCTCCCCGACCTGCTGAGTCTGACTTGAAGAAGAGAGAAGAAAACACCACACTTGTTTTCGTTGTGGTTGTCAGAAGTAACAAGCAACAAGCAACAAGATCCAACAGGCTGTGAAGAAGCTGTGTGACATTGCTGTGGCCAACGTCAACATCCTGACCAGACCTGATGGAGAGAAGAAGGCATATGTGCCACCAGCTCCTGATTATGATGCTTTGGATGCTGCCCACCAAATTGGGATCATCTAAACCAAGTCCAGCTGGCTAATTCTAAATACAGGGTGGACATAAATTTCGTGTGGAATTTAAATAGGAAAGTATTTTAAATTTAAATTTAAGTAGCAAGCAATTTAAATGAAAATTTATATGGTGAAGTTTTAAGTTTAAATAATAAAGTACTTTAAAAAGCACATGTCCACCCTGCATATGACTTTTCACCAGAAAGAAATATAATTGGTCTTTCTTTTTTTGCAGTTTTTGGACGGGGCCACATTTGAACCCGCCACCTCTGGTATATGGGGCAGGTAGCCTCCTCACTGAGCCACAGGCACCAACCAAGAAATATAATTGTTTTTTTTTGTTGTTTTTTTTTTTGTTTTTTTGTAGAGACAGAGTCTCACTTTTTTGCCCTCGGTAGAGTGCAGCGGAGTCGCTCCAGCAACCTCCAACTCCTGGGCTTAGGCGGATTCTTCTGCCTCAGC